GGAAGTCTTCTAGTGGAAGCTCAGGGTCCCGAGCCAGGGACCTCCTAGCCCACATTGTCAGGCCCATGCGCCTGGCAATGGATTGGTGGTCCGAGGTTTTGGCAGGCCCATGAGTCCCCCACAATTTCTTGATGGTTGCTATTTATGATGCCAGATCATACTCAGACAGACCTACATCCACCAACTGCAACAGACAAACACGGCGATGACAATGCAGTGAAGACATTACTTGGGAAATAAGTGTACAGCCTTCTTACAGTCTCTGAAGGGTCTTTCTGCCTCTTCGGAGTAGTCTCTGCTCTCTTCTGGAGGGTGTGCTCGGACCACCTTTGTCCGTGGTTTCCACGGCGGAAGTGTTCTTACAGGAAATAATGCCAGCCTGGCAGCCGCGATGGGATTTAATGAAGGGACTCCTTGGGGGATCCAGCCTCAGTGCGAAATGGACTTCGTTCGGCTTCTTATTTGTCAAGTAGCATGATGAAACGACTTGTTCCATGAACTGAACATACCCGTTATCTTTTCATCGCCACACTACAGCTCTGCTTAGCATTCAAAACTTTTTGGCCCTCCTCCACAACCGTTGGCTTGGTTGTGGAGTTAATCTTTACATGAATAAATTTATTAGCATCAAATCCAAACAGGTCAAGGAAACATGCCGAGAAGACACAAATGTGAACCAATGGTTAGCAACAGACAACAACCAGGCGGTTGTTTTTGCCTCCTTTGATGCCATGCTCTATCAGCTAGGTAGTTGAGTGCTGACCCCACCTTCTTGTCCAGCACATGGGAAGCCATCACTGCACTCATTTTGTTGTTGAGAGCTTCAAAAAGTTTCTTGGATTCTGCGGACACAGTGGAAACAATGGGCGGCACAGCAGAACTTACTCCGAGGGGTGCTACAAGGTCACTATCATCCGTCTCAGCAAGTGGAATGAACCAAACCCGGTTTTGCACAAATGTGCAAATTACACAATAATGATTGACAGTCGCTTCTGAATGGGCCAACTCAGGTAATTTCAATGCTGCTCCAAAATCTCGCCTTGCAACTCTCCAATGTAGATTGTGGCCCCCTCCTCGTCAGCGGATTGCCTTTCTCCCTGGAGCGTTATTTCCTGGATCCCATGGCGCTGCTTGAAATTCCGGAGCCAGCCGTTACTGAATTAAACTCGTCTCGGCCCCCCGACCTCCCTGTTCAGAATCGTTGCTTGTTGCACAATAAGATCGCCGCTTACTTGTTGTGCTTGGCGGAAAAGAAACGACACCATCAGTTAGAGATTACGCACACTTTAGAAACCGTGGCAATGGGGGAAGTCCCTGTTTGTAGTGTGAGATACTTACATCTCCGACAAGGACCCGCATCTTCCTCAGCTCTCTGACGAGGGAAGGAAGGGACATTATGGCAAAGTCCTCCTTCCGCTCCTCTCTCTTCTCAGGGGCAATGCCATAAAACTCGCCCTCGATGAGACCCTGGACAAGAAACCAAATCATGTGTGTCAGGTTGCACATGGTACCAAAAAATTAGGTGACTCATCTTCGCGTACCTCGTCCACCCGTACACCAGTCCAGAAGGCAGTGGACTTCCCCCTTATGTCCAGGTCCCAGTGGACACGGGACTTCTCTATGATACGGCGCATGTGTGTCAGGATGGGGTACACATCCTGTAGATTCCTGAGGGTGCACCCTTCTTCCTTCGACTTGAGGGCCAACTTGTGTACTCTGGTGTTGTCGAGGTAGTGCCTGATGTTGTTCAAATCCGCACCACGGATGCTTTATAATAGCCTGAGGGCGTGCATCTCCTGCGCTTGTGGCACGTCGGTCACAACCGGGTCTGCATCCCCCTGGGAAACGGAACGAAAAGTATGATTGACATGCTTGGTGTGGCACAGGAAGTTTCAAGTAACTGCAAACAGTTCTTACCAGGTCACGATCTTTCCTGTAATTTGTAATGTTGGTGATTGGTGCGGTCCGAGGCCTCTTGTTCTTTATGCACTCACGGAGAGCCTCCAGCCGCACATCTTCCCTGTTACTGGGAAGTGCTTATACTTAGTGTTATTTGCACAAATGTGCAAATTACACAATAAAGATTGACAGTCGCTTCTGAACGGGCAAACTCAGGCAATTTCGCTATTGTGAAGTCTTTGATGTAATTGTGTAAATGTCCTTCAGTGATAATTTTGTTTAGATATGGAATCAGAGTTGGGTCAATCACAAATTTTCTGTAGTGAGTAAAGTCGGTTTCTTCCTCGGAGAGAAAAAGTGTATTCTGTTGTCGGCTTGTGTGGAGTGAAGAGTGTGTGTGGTGTCGTTCGTGCCCTATTGTCCTATAGGTCCTATTGTTGCAGTGTGGGCGCCAAATTCAAATGCAAGATCGGAAATTTTCTCGCCCTTCTGTAGCCGTTCAATTATCGATTGCTAAGCGATAGGGTTAAAACACAGTTTAGTCACAGAAAAGAAGGAACGCGTCTGAACGTGACGCGTTATGCATTTTCTTACCTTCTGAGTCACGGTGAGACGCGTCCTTTGGACCACATGTGGGGATGCTTGTGGGAGACCTTTCACGGGCACAACTTGCCCACCACACTGAAAATTGAATGGCAAGACTGATGGCCAAAATTTGGTGAGACAAAAAAGTCTCGCCATTTTTTGGCGAGAAACAAAAGTCTCGCCATTTTTTTGGCGAGAAACTAAAGTCTCGCCATTTTTTGGCGAGAAACAAATGTCTCGCCAAAATATGGCAATAATTGCAACCCCACTCTATTTGATACTGGGAAATATATCCCAATCAAGATCACTCTGGTAAACACATCACTAACTACAGTCTTTCAATTACTCAAGTTGAAAATAATACAGGAAGCTATCACTTTCAGATATGAAAATATTAATGTTAGGTTATATGATGTGAATTTGGTTTGCGTCAGCAAAGCGTTGCCCAACTATTTACTTTTTTTTGTCATCGTCATATAACCTAACATTAATATTTTCATATCTGAAAGTGATAGCTTCCTGTATTATTTTCAACTTGAGTAATTGAAAGACTGTAGTTAGTGATGTGTTTACCGGAGTGATCTTGACTGGGATATATTTCCCAGTATCAAATAGAGTGGGGTTGCAATTATTGCCATATTTTGGCGAGACATTTGTTTCTCGCCAAAAAATGGCGAGACTTTAGTTTCTCGCCAAAAAAATGGTGAGACTTTTGTTTCTCGCCAAAAAATGGCGAGACTTTTTTTCTTTCCCCTAGGTTGGAATGAGTTCTGACCTTTGACTTTTCAGTGCAGCAGCCTAGCAGCCTGCGGAGATTGCTGATTTTCTTGGTTATTGGTTACAACCGGTTGTATGAGGTCTATTGCAAGAGAGGAACGACGCACTTCGACTCACTGCCAGAATACACGTGTGTTGCCCGAACGACGGCAGAAACCAAACTGGCCGATACTTGCAGCGCCAGGCCTCGCCGGACCTCGCCGCGCAAGCAAGAACTGCCTCAAAGAGTTGTCACTTCGCAGCTCAGAGGCCACACTCTTACTGCCAGAAATGTGGGCTTCGCACATTAATTCCTGTACGGGCACAGCTCTGTATTTCTCTTCCACACATTTCTTTAGTTTTCCCCACTGCTGACGGACATCAGTGCAGCTCAGCTCATCAAAGCTGCCCTAGCTTTGAAGCTTTCTCCGAGCTTTGCCCCATTGTGCATTATCATCTAAGCTTAATTTACGCCTATATGTTTCATAAGCTGCATGTAAAGAGTAATTTCCTACGCTGCATCCACATTACGCAGTCACTTTGGCTTACAGTCTCTAAACTAAAATCTACTGCTTCTGCCTCGGTTAAAGTATTCTATTATTTTAAAGGTTGAGGTCATCAGTATTTGAAATCACTGGGGGAATGTAGTCTAAACCTACAGCAATGTTTAGTTTCATCTTATTTTCTACCCAGCCTTTTGGCGCTGCTGGGAAGGTTGGAGCTCGTCCCCTGAATTGACAGTTGGATTTCCATTTAGATTCTCGATGTTTCTTGTTACTACCTTTAGATGTCGGTTTCTTTTTGTCCGTTGTCACTGAAATAAAAAAAAAATTTAAATATCGAATGAACAAACTTAAGTGAGAAAAGTATATTGAAATTTTATGACTTCTCTCAAACTTACCAGCTAGTTAGTTGCCTCCTGTTCATCAGTTGTTGGCCAACTCTGCCCCCAAATTCGCTTTCATCCTGTTGAATGACTCGCCGCCCAGGTGGGAGGCGGTTGGGTTGGAAATCATAGACAAGAAACGAGGAGCTTAAAATTACTGTATAGTGTTCATTAAGGTTTGCAATCCTGGTGGTTCCGGTACGTCACATTTTAAGCCATAAATTACATCACCCACGTATCTGTGATCCTTATCCCTGTTACCCAATTTACATCAAATAAATTGATGGGCACCATCAGGGCGTCCAGCCCTTGAGCTAATGACCAGTTGTGGCCAGGCCCTGCATGGCATAAGACTTCCCCAAATATTCCGATGTCAAGCACACTCTCAGCTGAAAACAGCCCACCCCCATGGGTGGTTAGTTTTAATACAGGGTTTACATTTATGGGCTCCTGGAACGTAAAGAAAAAAAATGGTCAATACCTTAACGCAGTGCAGTGTCACAATAATTGCATACCTCGTCAACAATGCACCACAGCATGCAATTTTCCTTGCATACCATCGGTAAAACAACCATTGCAAACTGTTTCTCATAGCCTGAAACATAAACAGGTATATTCAAAAGAAATTCATTATCAACTAGAGACAAATGCAATATCCATTCTGAAGAGACTTACGCATTTGGTCTTCCAAACTGTATTGGGTAAACATAGCTTTCAGCTTCAGGCCAACCTTTGGGTTTGCCTGAATCTTGTTATTATATATATTTTCAATTCTTCTGGGAGTCAGGGACTGCTCCCTTTTAAATGTGAAGTCGATGCAAAATTGTGTCAAGCCTTCTTTTATCACCTGCCTGAAGTCTGACAGTGGGGGAAACTTCTGAAGGACGATGCGGGGTGGGGTTATCACACTTAAATCACAATTTAATTTTGATTAACATAGATGTGTTTCCTTGCTTTCCTAACCATTTTTGAAATACATTTACGAATATTGCCATTGAAATACAGCAATTTTTTCACATTAGTCTCAGGTGTCACATGGTGCCCAGGGGCTGTCACATGGTGAACTCAGTGGTACACCATGTGACATTTTACATGCACCCATTCAAACTGGGATACCTTCGCAACCAATCGAGATAAAATGAAAATCCCAACGGGACTTTGAAGCTAAGGGTCCCCTTTTTGTCGGCAGGAGCAGTATGGATCCGTACAATTGTTAGTTTCGTGTTGGCGGGCATCCGCCTAAAAGTGTCACATGGTACCCCACCTTCCCTTCCGCACACCCTGTCAGAATATATCATATGACTAACCAGATCTTGGGAGCACCGGCGACATGCATATTGACGGCTTCAAAAGAGACGTCTTCATGATGGCACTGGAATGGAGACGCCTCGTTGCCTACGTACAATGTGGGGGTGACAATGCCTGGAAACTCGTCACCCACAAGGTACTTGATGAGCGAATCCATTTTGCCCATGCTTACGTTTTCTGCAATTTCAAGGTTGAGCGCCTTCTTTTGCGCCCTTCCAAGTTCTAATGGATCTACGTTTGCGGCGTAGAGTATGGGCGTATTTCTCCTGGAGAGGTGTGCATAGAACGCGTCTATGCACGGCCCAACGTTGCGTGATTCCAGGACCTCTTCACTATAAAGGGACAACGATTATTAGAAAAACTAATGCCATAACACTGCCCCCCCCCCCCTTATGTCACCAACGAAGGCTGATGAAACTTACAGATGACTCTTTGGAGTTTCATCAAAATTCATATTGAGGACTGTTTCCTTGAATGCATTCCGTTTCGTTGCAAGAGTCCTTACTTGACTCGGTGTGGACCCTTCCTCCTCTGTTGTTATGAAGAAGAACCCCAGCTCTCGCCACACCGCCTTTCTTCGGATCAGAAGGGGTTTAAAAAATTCAAACCCATTGTCACCGTCAAACAAATCCTTCACCTCTGCAATGTAGTTTTCGGTGAGGGTTGGCCCCCCCTTCAGCCTCCCCTGCAAAGGAATAAAAACCAGTCTGACATTCCATAATTGAAGGTTATGGTGCAACACGACACGAGGTACGTAACCTCAAAATTAAAAAAAAAGACGTGTTGCACAGAGTTTAAGTTGAACGAGCGTCAATTCCGAAGGTCATTTGGCCCAAGTAACTTAGAGGGACTAACCCAAACCTTACGCATAGTTCATACATGCAATTAACTCACCACAAAGCATCCTGTCGTGCGAACGTTTGGCTCCTTGACCATTAAGACACGGTTTAGGTAGCACAGCTCCCACCGGTCGCAGAAAAGACGCAATCCCCTCATTTTCCAGTTCGATTCCTCACTCAGGATGGGCAGTTGGCAGAGGTTGTCGAATGACTCCATATCGGACGGAAAACGCGGGTCTGGATCAGGGACCACAGGACAACATTAGTACCTAGATTACGACCTACCCTTTAAAAAATTAGTTTAAGATTTGGCGCGTTTGTACTGCTCTGATGCAGGAAGGCGAACGGAATTGCAACGGCCGGCGCTGACGTGGACCAAGCGGCGACGTTTAGCGACGAAGGGCAGCGAGCGGTTAATCCAGCGAGACACAACACGGACGGCGTTCGGGACGATACTGCCAGCCCGTCACCGAGACCTCCGCCCAGCGAGAATCCACCGCCTTCGTTCATCGCCAAGCTGCTGTCCAAGACGCCCCGACACTGGGCCTTCCCAGTTTGCCGGCCTGAGAACCTGGCCCGGAAGGTCTTCAGCGGTCGTCGTCGCCGCCGCGCGGGAAAGTCTCTCTCTTTCAAATCTGTGATGTGTGCCCGTCTGGCCGGGACTATCGAACGGCACGTGGTACACCTCTTCCGAACCCACCGGGCCATTGTGAGCCCTGCCGTTGACGCGCACGGCGACACACGCAATCACAATACCCCACCTTCTTGTCCAGCACATGGGAAGCCATCACTGCACTCATTTTGTTGTTGAGAGCTTCAATAAGTTTCTTGGATTCTGCGGACACAGTGGAAACAATGGGCGGCACAGCAGAACTTACTCCGAGGGGTGCTACAAGGTCACTATCATCCCTCTCAGCAAGTGGAATGAACCAAACCTGGTTTTGCACAAATGTGCAAATTACACAATAGAGATTGACAGTCACTTCTGAATGGGCAAACTCAGGCAATTTCGCCATTGTGAAGTCTTTGATGTAATTGTGTAAATGTCCTTCAGTGATAATTTTGTTTGGATATGGAATCAGAGTTGGGTCAATCACAAATTTTTCTGTAGTGAGTAAAATCGGCTTTTTCCTCGGAGAGGAAGAAGTGTATCCTGTTGTCGGCTTGTGTGGAGGGAAGAGTGTTTGGTGTCATTCGTGTTTTGTCTGGCCATGTGATTGGAGTAGTGGTGTTGCTGTTAATTTCTTGAAGGGCACGAGGAGGGGTCTCAACACTGCGTCGCCCTCTGAACAGGCAGTTCAGAGTTCCTGACTGGACTGCAAAACAAATGGGACATAAATAGACTGCTCAGTTGAATTTCAGACTCAATCAACCCACCTTTGACAAATGTAGAGAGCAAGTGATTCTTCGCAGCGGTGTCCAGCTTCAGGTTTGGTGCTCTTGACTTGGCACCACCTAACTGATCTTCGCAAACAAATCTTTTGGCTGGCACAGGCTCATACTGCTCATCAATCCTCTTCTGCTTGGCTACCTCCGTACAGGTGAGGGTAAGCATTAGAAGAGTTGAGGCCTATGTGTAGTGCCTCAACTCTTGTAATGCTGACCTTCACCTCGAAATGGTTCCAGAGAGTTAAGACAGACACTAGGACAACATTTAAATGCACAGGAGCAATATGGGTGTCAAATAGTCAATTTTTGACCATCCTCTAAGATAACTTTTAGCGTTTTTTGACAATATCTCTTTTGACAAAATCTCAAAAAAGTTTTGAAATTTTTTTGAAATTTTAAAAAATCGCCACGGCCAAAGTTCTGAATATTTTTTTCAAAAAATTTATATGAGTGGTCCTTGAGTGGTAGGCAATGACCGAAAAAATTGGGAGCCGGATCTGAGCAAGTGCGTTTTGGACCATGATGGTTTGACTTGGAATGCCCCTGCTTAATGTACCTCTGATGCAGGAAGGCAAAACGGAGGGAGTGTAATTTGCACAAATGTGCAAATTACACAATAAAGATTGACAGCTCGAGATTTTCAGGCTGCTTCATGGACTTTCTAGCTTTGTTGGTACATGTCAGCGGGTGGAAACTTCTTTTCCGAAACGGGCGTGCAGACGTTTTGTTATCCGTTAACATCGGCCGATCGAAGCAATCTAGGTCAAATCTGCTTACATTTTCGGAATCAGCACAAAATTTGACAGGGAATAGAGTACTTTCTAGATGGCGAAACCAAAATTATCATGTTTATTTTGAAGCCTAAACACAAAACTGTTTCAAAAAGACCAAAAATCCCATGTCTCGTCGAGTAACATTTCCATCTTGAAAACGTTAATGTGAACGAACGGGGTGTCGTATCCATGGTCGTATCACAAATCTGAGGCCAGATTTGGAATTCTCAAAAAAATTGCCAATGTATAGGCTATATAGATGGAGTAGGTAGCTACTCCTTCTTGCGGCAGCGATGCCCGAAAATGGTCGGTTCTTGAGCCACGCAAATGTTTGTTGTAAACACGTAATCGACTGAAATTCGACGACAATTATCAGGATGAAATCTGAAAATTCAAAACAACGCATATAGCCTATACCATGGTAAAAGTCTTCAGGATTCCAAATCTGTTTTCGGATTTGTGATGCGACGCTCCGTTCGCTAACATTAACGTTTCCAAATCAGTCATTTTGCGCAAACCGCGACAGTGCGAGACATGGGATCAGGGCCTATCAGGGCCATATTTCGCAACACGTTTGTTTTTAGGCTTCAAATAACTATGATCATTTTGCATTCGCCACCTATAAAGTACCCTATTCCCTGTCGAATTTTATGCTGATTCCGAAAATGTAAGCAGATTTTACCTAGCTCGCTTGGTTCGGCCGATGTTAACGGATAACAAAACGGCTGCACGCCCGTCTCGGAAAAGTAGTTTCCACCCGCTGTACATGTAGACCTAAACTGCGTCAGCTCGGTGCTTTTCCTTTTTGGCCCGCCCTTCTATTCAAAAAATAGGGGGAGGGCCTATGCATTTGCCTTTGTGTCTGTGTGTTGTTGTTGTTGTTGTTGTTGTTGGCGTCTGTGTACAAGGAAGGAGTTGAGCTAGAGTAACCAGATTTGGAGGGTACTTCAGGAGTACCGTCCAAACAAATAATCCGGTGGTGCAAATCCCGTCCGGGTCGCACAAGGGCTGCTGCAGGTGCATCATGGTTTACATGAGCGGGAGGGGGATTTCCGCCATTATTGGTGCTAGCAGGGCACATAGGGGTATTTTTGGAATCGGGGCGACGAGGCAAGATGAATGGACCTGGTCCCGACCCATCGGCCGCTTTTACATGTTGGCCAGATCAGGATCTTCAAAAAAGGGGGTCGACCGACTAAAAAAATTTATTGCAGATTTCGATTGGTCTCAGCAAGACCTTTTCAACGAGGGGTCGGAAAGGGGGTCCAGGAGCCCGACTTCGTCCATTAGTCACATCAGGATCTTCAAAAAAGGGGGTCGACCGACTAAAAAAATTTATTGCAGATTTCGATTGGTCTCAGCAAGACCTTTTCAACGAGGGGTCGGAAAGGGGGTCCAGGAGCCCGACTTCGTCCATTAGTCACATCAGGATCTTCAAAAAAAGGGGGTCGACCGACTAAAAAAATTTATTGCAGATTTCGATTGGTCTCAGCAAGACCTTTTCAACGAGGGGTCGGAAAGGGGGTCCAGGAGCCCGACTTCGTCTATTAGTCACATCAGGATCTTAAAAAAAGGGGGTCGACCGACTAAAAAAATTTATTGCAGATTTCGATTGGTCTCAGCAAGACCTCTTCAACGAGGGGTCGGAAAGGGGGTGCAGGAGCCCGACTTCGTCTATTAGTCACATCAGGATCTTCAAAAAAGGGGGTCGACCGACTAAAAAAATTTATTGCAGATTTCGATTGGTCTCAGCAAGACCTCTTCAACGAGGGGTCGGAAGGGGGGTCCAGGAGCCCGCCTTCAAGAGTTATGGGAAAAAGTGCGACGGACTCGTTTTGCGTCCTGCTGAGCCTCTATTGCAAGGAGTTGCAGTAGCATGGCAAATATGGGTATTTTCGAAATGAGGGTGAAGAGACAAATGAAATGGGCATATTCTAAGGACAGTTGGAGTAAAAAGTGTAAGGACTATTGCATATTGTGAATAGAAGGGCGGGCCTAAGTCACGATGGTACATCGATAACTTTGCTTTACCCGCTCACGGTGTGTGTGATGCGAGCGGGCCGAAGGCCCGGGCCTTCGACTGGCCAAGTTGGGTCTGATGCGAGGGCCGAAGGCCCGAGAAAAGGCCGCCGGCAGGCCAAGCTGGGCCGGCCCCCTGTCGAACCGAGTTGCCGGCGCAGCGAAGCGGAGCTGGCAACTCGGTTCGACGGAAGGGCGGGCCCTAGCTTGTTATTTTTCCTATTGTTGCAGTGTGGACGCCAAATTCAAATGCAAGGTCCGAAATTTTCTCGCCCTTCTGTAGCCGCTCAATTATCGATTGCTTAGCAAGAGAGTTAAAACACAGTTTAGTCACAGATAAGAAGGAACGCGTCTAAACGCGACACGTTATGCATTTTCTTGTGGGAGACCTTCCACGGGCTCAACTTGCCTACCAGCAGCCTAGCAGCCTGCGGAGATTGCCGATTTTCTTGGTTATTATTCACAACTGGAACGAAGCACTTCGACTCACTGCCAGAATACACGTTGCTGCCCGAACGACGGCAGAAACCAAACTCGCCGGGCCTCGCCGGGCCTTGCCGGGAAATCCTTAGTCCGTGGAAAACAACGCAGCAGAGCGCCCCCTCCCCTCCTTGGCACTCCCCGCCGCCTGGACTGAGCTTTGCGTAAAGTCCATCGATTCTTCAAATCACGATTAGGGGTCATTCCACGCCAAGTCGTCAGGGTCCAGACCGACACGTTCGCCGAACCCGGCGATTTTTTCAGCGATTGTTAGTCCTATGGGACTATAAAAGACCCACACTTTTTTTCCGAAAAGTGGTCAGGGGTCTGAGATATCGCAATTTGAAATTTTCACTAAAAAGTTTTTGGTCTTGAAAACTTGTGAATATCTCCGAAAGTATTCGTCGTATCGAAAAAATGGATATACCGTTGGAAAGAGGATGAAAAATGGAAAAAAATGAGACCTGTCCGAAGTTGTAGGACAATTTTTCATTTTTCATAATTTTGAGTCAATTCTTCAAAATGACGGCAAATGGGGAGTACCTTAACCAAATTGGACGGGGTTTGGCTTAAAATTTACTTAATACCTTCTCTAAACAAAAGGACTAACCACAAAAAAGTATTATTTTAGTTTGGGAGAAACGAGCGATTTGTGGACCTCTGCATACCCATTTTGGCTTCTACACTCGCGCCACACGCGCGCGCCCTGTGCTCTGCTGCTAGGATTACGCTTTGGTGTTTGAGGTCCTCCATCAGATGACACTCAAATGAAGTTTTCCTCGTCCCTATTGCCTTTCTATTAGAGCAATCGACATGGCGCTGGATGGCTGGCAACCGAATACGCCTGGTACGATGGGTTGCCTAATCGGACCGGCAGGCGTCCCAGGGTTCGTTCCACCCGCCCTCGTGCCTCGCGCCGCTCGCTCCACTGTGGGCGCGACAAGGGGCATTCTGCGCGAGACTAGGCTATGGAAACGGTGGTGGACGGAAGGCGAAACGACTGGAGCCTGCAGAGATCCCAGAGCATGCACGCGTGCCCGTGCTCGGTTTGATTGGTTCAGTGTGACTGTGAGTGATTTTATTAAACGATTGGATGGTGATAGGCTTTTGAAAGTACGCCGTGTGTGGAAGTCGCACACTTTGTTTCTCATACAAGTAGTCTCGCAAGGGGTCCCTTTTTAAAGGCCATCTCCTATTGGCCGGTACTGTGCTGCCCTCTGCACTGAGATTACAAACGCTATGAGTATAGCACGTATGGTGCAATGCGCTGTGATATCGCACCATACGTGCAATGCCACAGCCATATTGCACCTTTGGTGCAATGCTTCCCGAAAAGGCCCTATGCTAATGCATGGGAATTGGGAGGCATTGCACTTCATGTGCAATGCTTTTGTATTGCACCAATTGACGCTATACTCATAGCGTTTGGATTCTCAGTGTGGTGGTGAGTTCTGAACTACTATTGTTTACGTTTTCGAAACATGAGAACAGCAGCCCGTTCGTGGTTTGAACCTGTCCGCACGTTCTGTAATTAGAACCGTTCCAGTTTGGATGGTAAGATACTTTTATTCTTCATTTTTGAATGGTTTACTTTAAGCACAACAAAGTGTGCGACTTCCACACACGGCGTACTTTCAAAAGCCTATCACCATCCAATCGTTTAATAAAATCACTCACAGTCACACTGAACCAATCAAACCGAGCACGGGCACGCGTGCATGATCTGGATCTCTGCGGCTCCAGTCGTTTCGCCTTCCGTCACCACCGTTTCCATAGCCTAGTCTCGCGCAGAATGCCCCTTGTCGCGCCCACAGTGGAGCGAGCGGCGCGAGGCACGAGGGCGGGTGGAACGAACCCTGGGACGCCTGCCGGTCCGATTAGGCAACCCATCGTACACAGGGGGTATTCGGTTGCCAGCATCCAGGCGCCATGTCGATGCTCTAATAGAAAAGGCAATAGGGACGAGGAAAACTTCTTTGAGTGTCATCTGATGGGAGGACCTCAAACACCAAGCGTCAAACCTAGCAGCAGAGCACAGGGGGCGCGCGCGTGTGGCGCGAGTGTAGGATAAGGCCAAAAGTGGGTATGCAGAGGTCCACAAAAATCACATCACTCGTTCTCCCAAACTAAAAATAATACTTTTTGTGGTTAGTCCTTTTGTTTAGAGAAGGTATTAAGGAAATTTTAAGCCAAACCCCGTCCAATTTGGTTAAGGTACTCCCCATTTGCCGTCATTTTGAAGAAGACCCCCAAAATTATGGAAAATGAAAAATTGTCCTACAACTTTCGGACAGGTCTCTTTTTTTTTCCTTTTTTTCATCCTCTTTCCAACGGTATATCCTTTTTTTTCGATACGACGAATACTTTCGGAGATATTCACAAGTTTTCAAGCCCAAAAAACTTTTTTAGTGAAAATTTTTAAATTGCGAATCTCAGACCCCTGACCACTTTTTGGGAAAAAAAATGTGGGGTCTTTTATAGTCCCATAGGACTAACAATCGCTGAAAAAATCGCCGGGTTCGGCGAAAAGTGTCGGTCTGGACCCTGACGACTTGGCGGGGAAAGACCCTTAGGCTTTTTAAAAGGCCCCTAACCCGGAGACGGTGCTGAACACTTAGGAACTTTTATTTCCACCAAAATGCCCTTGTCTGCAACAAAGCCATCAGGGCTATGTGCAAACCAAGGAGTTTTTGGATTGATGACGACACCAAGGAGGCCCACTTTGTTTGCCTGTCTGCCTCTCATAAGCCTCCCTGGCATTCGGCTCCTCAGAGAGCCCCTCTCCATCCATTGCACTCTTAAAACCTTACGAAGTATTTTGAGCATACATATACAAACTAAATACTTTGTTATACGAAGAAATAGTTCGTTAATTACGAAGTATTTTTTTTGTAAGCTTACGTATGCTAAAAAACTTTGTTATACAAACTACTTTTCTTTGTAAGGCCCAAAATAGTTTGTAAGGTTTTCTCAGTGTGGGTATATTCCTTACCATCCTCTCTATCTCTTTTCTTCTTCTCTAGATCTGTAGGAAAATAGATAGTCTGCAGCTTTTTTTTTCAAGCTACAGGGTTTCTCTTTCCTGTATCATTATAGTACCTGCACATGTCATATGCGATACTGCCACTTATTCTCCCCTTATCACGAAACATAAAAAGTGGCATTCTTAATTGTCAACGAAAAATTCTTACTGTAATACTGCACTAAGGGAGCGGCAGTATCGGGCATGTTGAAGTTCACTAGGTAAGGTTTCAGACTGTCCTGTGACACTATCTTAAATACTATTGATGGGACGGAAATGTCAATTACTACTTTGGCTGGAGTGGGAGGGTCGGAAGGTCTTCTTCCTCTTCGAACAGGCGTGGTTTGGACATTGCTATTGATTTGTTGTAACGGCAACCGCTGGTTTGGAGCATTTGGTGTGGAGGTGGCAGCAGGAGTTCCAGGATGAGAGGCTGGCGGAGGCACCCAGCTGTATGCCCCGTGCTCTGAACAGAGAGGGCAAACCAGCCATGGGTAATGACTTCACATAGTGAGCAAGCAAGAACTGCCTCAAAGAGTTGTCATTTCGCAGCGCAGAGGCCACACTGTAACTGCCGGAATTGTGGGCTTCCCACATTGATTCCTGTACGGGCACAGCTCTGTATTTCTCTTCCACACATTTCTTTCCCCACTGCTGACGGACATCAGTACAGCTCAGCTCTTCAAAGCTGCCCTTTGGTTGCCTGCAAAGGAAGGCAACGACAATGAAATCAACTGTGAATGAATGGGGAAGTGTGGCGTATACCAGGCCTTTATGCCGAAAGGACACAAACGGCTGACGAGAACGTCACCACAGGACGCTGCAGGTGTCAGACTCACCTCTGTATGTGAAAAAGAGGACGGCTGAAATGTGTTTGCAGGCGATGTTCCCTTACTGGCAACCACAATAGGCTTCAATGGATTTTGGAGAGGTTAACCTGATGGACACCGACACCTCATAAGGTGCCGCCCTACTCAGGTTCCTGGGAAAACCAGGAACCGTTTTCACCGTGCATGATATGTTTAGCTTTTAGGATAGCAGAGCTCTCCCGGCACACCTCCCGGGAACGCTCGAATTTCGCACTATCTACCCTGGCAGCAGCTGAATCAAATCCTCGGTCGTGGCTTCGTCCTCCTACATGGGAGCCAGGTCGACGAGACACATTGTCATCGTAGCTATTGTCATCAATGTCGTTACTGGCGACGTCTCTCTCAGTGTCGGCACTGCCAATGCTAAATTCCCCAAACAATGAAAATGAATAAAAATAAGGATAAGGCCATTTTGTGGACGAAAAAAGAGGACGGACAATACGTGAAATCTTACCGAAAAGCTTTTACAAAGTTTGAACCATTGTCAGCGGTGGTACTTGACCCTTTGCCTTGGGCTCCGCAGTCCTGGAATATCTCCTGGAGCTCCGCCGCTATGACGTCAAAAGTTTGCCTGCCAATAATGCGACGGCACGCCACGGCTGCCGACCGCCTCTTTAGGTCGCTAGGGTTGAGCCAGTGCACTCGCCCAGGTTGCCTCTGTGAGAAAAATATGGCATAAGAATACAATTATAAAAACTAACCCTCCTAACACATTTTTAACCCATTTAAATTAAGCTTTTTACCTGCCAAAGCTCTTCCAAGCATCAGCTGTTGTTCCAACACATGTTGCCTTGGCCTTTTCCTCAGAACTTTAACCCATTGTGCATTATCATCTAAGCTTAATTTACGCCTTTATATTTCATAAGCTTTACTGCCTGTGAAGAGTAATTTCCTACGCTGCATCCACATTGGGCAGTCACTTTGGCTCACAGTCTCTATACTAAAATCTACTGCTTTTGCCTCGGATAAAAGTATTCTATTATTGTAAAGGTTGAGGTCATCAGTATTTGAAATCACTTGGGGAATGTAGTCTAAACCTACAGTAATATCTAATTTCATCTTATTTTCTACCCAGCCTTTCGGCGTTGCTGGGAAGGTTGGATCTCGTCCCCTGAATTGACAGTTGGATTCCCATTTAGAATCTAGATGTTTCTTGTTACTACCTTTAGATGTCGGTTTCTTTTTGTCCGTTGTCACTGAAACAAAAAAAAAATTAAAATACCGAATGAACAAACTTAAGTGAGAAAAGTATATTGAAATTATATGACTTCTCTCTAACTTACCAGCTAGTTGCCTCTTGTTCATCAGTTGTTGGCCAACTCTGCCCTTAAATTCGCTTTCATCCTGTTGAATTTGCCGTGCACCCTCTCTCCCACCATCTTCCGGCCAATGACTCGCCGCCCAGGTGCGAGGCAGGAGGAGTCTTGCTGCGAGGTCTCGGTTCAGGATCAGGCACTGTAGGAGGAGTCTTGCTGCTACTCGCAGGATGAGTCTCCTTGCTAGATCCCGGTGCAGGACGAGGCACTGTAGGAGGAGTCTTGCTGCCACGCGCAGGAGCCTGGTTGCTAGGTCCTACAAGTTCAAATTTCGGTAAGTAATACAGTCATTAACTACATTTAATTGCAATTTAATTACGGAATCCATACCTTCAGACACTAGAGTAGGATGAGACACTTCAGGAGTCTTACTGCTAGGTCTCGGTGCAGGATCAGGCCCTGCAGGAGGAGTGTTACAAGGTAAGACAGGCCGTTAGTTACCTTTGGATAAAATGTTGGATGAGACGTATATGTCCCATCGCTGAACACGCGTCTGAACTTGGGCCGCTCCGCGACCATGAACGGCAGTTTGCTCTCCACGATCACGTCAACTATGAGGTCGTCCAGCACCTCTTGGCTTACAGCGCTCGCTAATCGGGGTCCATCATTGTCCTTACATCTTGTGGAGGGTGCTTGTGTGCCCCCTTAGGTGTTGCCTCAAGCAGACGGAGTTTGTCCCTGTGGTGACTGTAAAACTTGCTGGGGCACTGATACCACACTGTGGTGACTTAATTTCTACATAAATATCTTTTGCCACAACTACTCCATCAGGGCTAGAGAGGAGGTGAGGTATCTTGGGATGGATGCAGGCACCCAGATTATGAACCTTTCTGCCAGTTGATAACTCGTAATGTTGTTTGGCAACGGTTCATCTTGGAGCCCCTTGTCCATAGTCCATATAAACGCCTCATCCTGTTTTCTCTCCGATGTAAGATCCTGGAGCCTTTTCCTCAGAACTTCACTACAAATCTAACTGTCTACTAAGTACACACTTAAAAATACGTGCTTGCAAGTACACAATTACAAACGCATGCTTGACGCCGTATAACTCAGCTTCAGGCCAACCTTTGATTGGGTTTGCCTGAATCTTGCCATTATATTTTCGATCCTTCTGGGAGTCAGGAACTCCTCCCTTTTAAACGTGAAGTCGATGCAAAATTGTGTCAAGCCTTCTTTTATCACCTGCCTGAAGTCTGACAGTGGGGGAAACTTCCGAAGGACGATGCGGGGTGGGATTATCACACCACCGCTCCTGGCCCGTCTTCTTCTGTAGTATTTTGTCGATGACGTCCTATCATCTAGCAAATTGGCCTGCAGCGGGTCCATATCTGCAGCCCAGTTGGCCACTATCCGATTGACATGTTAATTTATTGTGTGGTCCGTTTGACCAGCATCGCCTTTATTCGCCTGAAAATTCAAAAGGTTAATGCAAAGAAAAAGAAATAACACAAAAAACATTCATAGTGCGTTAGTGTAGTTACCTCAGCAGGGGTCTGCCTTCTGGTGGCACGGTTAGGATCTCGTTGAGGAGGAGCATCTGCCCTCAACACATTCCTGTTAGCTATGCTGGCACGGCTTTTCCTAGTAGCTTCATCTTCAATGCCCCTTCACAAGAAAAAAAACACAATCAAGTCTAACTAAATCTCTGGTTGAGTCATTAGGTATTCACCGCACTTCATCAATACACATCGCACTACTATTTTACATAATTTGTACTGGTTCTACTGGCACTTAAGGCATTTAAACAGCTAGTAAAACAATTTAAAAATTTGAATAATGAAGTAAAAATCGAAAAGATGATGTTCTGCTTAGTGGCAAAATTGTAATGTACTAAGAGAATGAATAAAGTATTCAAAATAATTTTAAAAAAGCTAATTAATAAACCACAATACTTTATGAAACTACCGTTGACAGGTGCCTGCGGCAACAAAGCTGAGAGAATCCTATTCCTCTCCGCATTGGCAGCTACTTTTCTCTGCTGCAATAGCCGCTCAAGTTTCTTTTCCTCAAGTAAAGCTTTGGCCAAATTTTTTTAAATTGAAATTTTTCAAGCTTCGGCTGGTGGCTCTTTTCCCTGCTAGCCGATAACGCTTTAAGGCTAGTTATTCTTGTTTCCGTAGCCAGCATTTGTTCGTCAATGTAGGTTGTGTATTTTTGCTCCAAATCGATCCGGGCTTGGGCAAATCTAAAGCCTGACCCGTGCGCCTTCCGCACTCTCTTCTTGGGCAGGCGGAGAGTGCTCTGCTGTGGAGTGGATGTTGTAGGCTTGGCACTTGCTGCTTCCTGCCCGTCTGGGAGTCAGGGACTGCTCCCTTTTAAATGTGAAGTCGATGCCAAACTGTGTCAAGCCTTCTCTTATCACCTGCCTGAAATCTGACAGTGGGGGAAACATCCGAAGGACGATGCGGGGTGGGGTTATCACACCACCGCTCCTGGCCCGTCTTCTTCTGTAGTATTTTGTCGATGACATCCTATCACATAGCAAATTGGCCTGCAGCGGGTCCATCTCTGCAGCCCAGTTGGCCACAATCCAATTGACATGTTCATTTATTGTGTGGTCCGTTTGACCAGCATCGCCTTTATTCGCCTGAAAATTCAAAAGGTTAATGCAAAGAAAAAGAAATAACACAAAAAACATCCATAGTGCGTTAGTGTAGTTACCTCAGCAGGGGTCTGCCTTCTGGTGGCACGGTTAGGATCTCGTTGAGGAGGAGCATCTGCCCTCAACACATTCCTGTTAGCTATGCTGGCACGGCTTTTCCTAGTAGCTTCATCTTCAATGTCCCTTTACAAGAAAAAAACGCAATCAAGTCTCACTAAATCTCTCGTTGAGTCATTAGGTATTCACCGCACTTCATCAATACACACAGCACTAATATTTTACATCATTTGTACTGATTCTACTGGCCCTTAAGTCATTTAAGCAACTAGTAAAACAATTTAAAAATTTGAAGTATGAAATAAAAATTGAAATAATGATGTTCTGCTTAGTGGCAAAATTGTAATGTACTAAGACAATGAATTATGCAATAAAAATAATTTTAAAAAAGCTAATTAATAAATCACAATACTATATGGAACTACCGTTGACAGGTGCCTGCGGCAACAAAGCTGGTAGAATCCTATTCCTCTCCGCATTGGCAGCTATTTTTCTCTCCTTCAATAGCCGCTCAAATTTCTTTTCCTCAAGTAAAGCTTTGGCCAAATTTTTTTTAAAATTGAAAATTTGCAGGCTTTAACTGGTGGCTTTTTTCCCTGCTAGCCGATAACGCTTTAAGGCTAGTTATTCTTGTTTCCGTTGCCAGCTCTCGTTCGCCAATGTAGGATGTGTATTTTTGCTCCAAATCGATCCGGGCTTGGGCGAATCTGGAGCCTGACTCGTGCGCCTTCCGCACTCTGTTCTTGGGCAGGCTGAGAGTGCGTTGCTTTGGACTGGATGTTGTAGGCTTGGCACTTGCTGCTTCCTGCTCGTCTGGGAGTCAGGGACTGCTCCCTTTTAAATGTGAAGTCGATGCCAAGCTGTGTCAAGCCTTCGTTTATCACCTGCCTGAAGTCTGACAGTGAGGGAAACTTCTGAAGGACGAAGCGGGGTGGGGTTATCACACCACCGCTCCTGGCCCGTCTTCTTCTGTAGTATTTTGTCGATGACGTCCTATCATCTAGCAAATTGGCCTGCAGCGGGTCCATATCTGCAGCCCAGTTGGCCACAATCCAATTGACATGTTCATTTATTGTGTGGACCGTTTGACCAGCATCGACTTCATTCGCCTGAAAATCCATTTAATTGCAATTTAATTACGGAATCCATACCTTCAGACACTAGAGTAGGATGAGACACTTCAGGAGTCTTACTGCTAGGTCTCGGTGCAGGATCAGGCCCTGCAGGAGGAGTGTTACAAGGTAAGACAGGCCGTTAGTTACCTTTGGATAAAATGTTGGATGAGACGTATATGTCCCATCGCTGAACACGCGTCTGAACTTGGGCCGCTCCGCGACCATGAACGGCAGTTTGCTCTCCACGATCACGTCAACTATGAGGTCGTCCAGCACCTCTTGGCTTACAGCGCTCGCTAATCGGGGTCCATCATTGTCCTTACATCTTGTGGAGGGTGCTTGTGTGCCCCCTTAGGTGTTGCCTCAAGCAGACGGAGTTTGTCCCTGTGGTGACTGTAAAACTTGCTGGGGCACTGATACCACACTGTGGTGACTTAATTTCTACATAAATATCTTTTGCCACAACTACTCCATCAGGGCTAGAGAGGAGGTGAGGTATCTTGGGATGGATGCAGGCACCCAGATTATGAACCTTTCTGCCAGTTGATAACTCGTAATGTTGTTTGGCAAACGGTTCATCTTGGAGCCCCTTGTCCATAGTCCATATAAACGCCTCATCCTGTTTTCTCTCCGATGTAAGATCCTGGAGCCTTTTCCTCAGAACTTCACTACAAATCTAACTGTCTACTAAGTACACACTTAAAAATACGTGCTTGCAAGTACACAATTACAAACGCATGCTTGACGCCGTATAACTCAGCTTCAGGCCAACCTTTGATTGGGTTTGCCTGAATCTTGCCATTATATTTTCGATCCTTCTGGGAGTCAGGAAACTCCTCCCTTTTAAACGTGAAGTCGATGCAAAATTGTGTCAAGCCTTCTTTTATCACCTGCCTGAAGTCTGACAGTGGGGGAAACTTCCGAAGGACGATGCGGGGTGGGGTTATCACACCACCGCTCCTGGCCCGTCTTCTTCTGTAGTATTTTGTCGATGACGTCCTATCATCTAGCAAATTGGCCTGCAGCGGGTCCATATCTGCAGCCCAGTTGGCCACTATCCGATTGACATGTTAATTTATTGTGTGGTCCGTTTGACCAGCATCGCCTTTATTCGCCTGAAAATTCAAAAGGTTAATGCAAAGAAAAAAAATCACACCAAAAACATCCATAGTGCGTTAGTGTAGTTACCTCAGCAGGGGTCTGCCTTCTGGTGGCACGGTTAGGATCTCGTTGAGGAGCATCTGCTCTCAACACATTCCTGTTCGCCATGCTGGCACGGCTTTTCCTAGTAGCTTCATCTTCAATGCCCCTTCTTCTTTCCGCAAATT